TCTGTCTATAATCTGATTCTATCTATCTATCTATCTATCTATCTATCTGTCTATAATCTGATTCTATCTATCTATCTATCTATCTGTCTATAATCTGATTCTATCTATCTATCTATCTATCTATCTATATGTCTGTCTGTCTGTCTCTTGTCTGTCTGTCTGTCTCTGGTCTGTCTGTCTGTGTGTCTGTCTCTGGTCTGTCTATCTTATCTATCTATCTATCTATCTATCTATCTGTCTGTCTGTCTGTCTGTCTGTCTCTCTGTCTATCTATCGTCTGTCTGTCTATCTTTGGTTGCACACTCTTATAATGACATTGTATTTCATCTTTTGAGAATAAAATTTCTCTTTCTCACACACACAGGCACTCATGATACAGCAATAGGTAGTGTAAGACGTGTGTTTTGTGTGTGTGTGTGTGTGTGTGGAATAGATCTGTTCATTAGATCTATCCTTTATTAGTCTAATACGCTTCATCCTCTACTCCTGCTCATCTCTATTATCGCTCTCTCTTTCTCCGTCTCTAGTTTTTGTTTGTCCTGGAACATTAATGCGAGTGTTGGAGCCCAGTTCCGTGCGGGAGGCGGAGCATCAGTCTGGGGCGTGGTGTAAAGACCCTCTGCAAGCTGGCGATAGGCTGTACGTGATGCCCTGGACACCCTATCGCACAGATATGCTTTACGAATACGCTTCCTGGGACGACTACATCCAAAATAGAGTCACCACCACCTATAAGTGAGTTTGCGTTTATAAGCGAGACAAGTTGAACATTGTATGAATGTTATAATAACGTTTCTGTGTAACGTACAGATTGCCGAGTCGAGTGGATGGCACCGGTTTTGTCGTGTATGACGGAGCTGTGTTCTACAATAAGGAACGCACACGCAACATTGTAAAATATGACCTGCGAACTCGCATCAAGAGCGGTGAAGCTATTATTGCTACCGCCAACTATCACGACACGTCGCCGTACCGCTGGGGCGGGAAATCCGACATCGACCTAGCCGTGGATGAACACGGGCTCTGGGTCATATACGCCACTGAAGCCAACAGCGGACGCCTGGTTGTTAGCCAGGTGAGAAAGATCGATAGAGTGTTTTTATATGAACTTCCTGTTTATGTCTTGCTGCATTGTTCTGATTGGCTGCTTTCCAATCGTTCCGTAATCCGATTGGCTGGTATCTCAGGTGAACCCGTACACGCTGCGGTTTGAGGGGACGTGGCAGACGAGCTTTGAGAAGCGCATGGCGTCAGACGCGTTCGTGGCGTGTGGCATCTTGTACGCCGTTCGTTCCGTGTACCAGGATGACGACAGCGAGGTGGGCGGAGACCTGATCCTGTACGCCTACGACACGCGGCGTAACCACGAGGAGCCGGTGAGGATCCCGTTCCCCAACCCGTACCAGCACATCTCCTCCATCAGCTACAACCCCAGAGACAACCAGCTGTACGTCTGGAACAACTACATCGTACTGCGGTACCCGCTGGAGTTCAGCCCGCCGCAGCCCACCACAGGTCAGCATTTTTATGGCTCAGAGGTTGCTCTTTCATTTCTCAGGAGGCTTAATTGAGATCTCAGTTATGCGTTACGTATAATCCTGAGCCAGGTGAGTCAGTAGTTGCCATAAAGCATGAGTATGTTCATTGCTCAGATGTTTCTCTTTCAAAGCTCATGAGTTTGACTGGAAGGATCAACTTTGTCTCAGTTGTTTCTCCTGAAATAAAATCATACCCAAATGAGTCAATTTTGTTTATAGCTGTAAAATGAATGTTGAGAAGCAGCTCGGATCATTTTATCTTTGATGAGAAATATTTGAGTTCATACTGAGACTTTTGATCACAGACTTTGGTATCTTGCCAAAATGGAGCACAATATGAGATGAGGTTGAGATCTTTTCCAAATATCATTTTCGCAGGGGATTTCTGAGATCATTTGATCTTCTGAGAATTTGATGAGATATTGAGATCTCTGACTTGAGATTGCAAACCTTGGCAAATCCAAGCACAGTTTGAGATGTGATTGAGATCTCTTCCAAATCTCATTGTTTCTCAAAAGAAAAATTGGAGAAACAGCTCAGATCATTTGATTTTTAGAGAATTGTGTGAGAAATGTTTGAGCTCATTGTTGAGATCTCTGACTATACATTGCAAATCTGAGCACAGTTTGAGATGTGATTGAGATCTCTTCCAAATCTCATTTTGTCTGGAGATTTTTCAGATCATTTAATCTTTAGAGAATTTGATGAGAAATGTTTGAGATCAATGTTAAACTGCAAAGTTTGCCAAGTCCGGGCACATTTTGAGATGTTGTAGAGATCTCATCCAAATCACATAATTTCCTTAGTGGATTTCTAAGATCATTTGATCGTCAGAAAGTTTTGTGAGAAATGTGTTTTGGGGTTTATTTTAAGACCTCTCACATTTGATTTTAAATCCTGGCAAATCTGAGTACAGTTTGAGACGTGGTCGAGACCTCTTCCAAATCAAATAATTTCCTCAAGAGAAAAAAATGGAGAAGCACCTAAGATAATTTGATCTTTGGAGAATTTTATGAGAAATGTTTGAGCTGATATTGAGATCTCTGACTTGAGATTACAAACCTTGGCAAATCCAAGCACAGTTTGAGATGTGGTTGAGATCTCTTCCGAATCTCATTGTTTTCTCAAGAGAAAAATGGAGAAACAGCTCTGATCTTTGATCTTTGGGGAATTTTATGAGAAATGTTTGAGCTAATATTGCGATCTCTGACTTGAGATTGCAAACCTTGGCAAATCCAAGCACAGTTTGAGATGTGGTTGAGATCTCTTCCGAATCTCATTGTTTTCTCAAGAGAAAAATGGAGAAACAGCTCTGATCTTTGATCTTTGGGGAATTTTATGAGAAATGTTTGAGTTCATATTGAGATCTCTGACTTTCCATTTCAAATCCTGGCAGATCTGAGCACAGTTTGAGATGAGATCTCTTCCAAATCTCATCATTTTCACATTTCAAACATTTCAAGCATTTGATCTTAAGTGAATTTTGTGACTTTAGACTTCAAGTTTCAGAGTTTTTCAAAAAATTGGAGAAGCGGGAGACTTTTGCTCAGAGTTTGTATTCATAACCATTACATTTATTAAAAAATACCAGAACAGTTAGATTTTTATGATGCTTGGATCTGTTAATGGTTCTGAAATGTCTGCATTCATCTGTAAATGTGGGTGGAAAACTGTTGTAAATAAAATTATATGATGTCACTTTGCACATGCTGTCTTCAATCAGAACAGCATCCCATGATTGCCATAACATTTGCTCTCTGTTTAACCTCACTGTACCTTTGTCTGTGTATCTCCTCAGACCCTCTCTCGACACCTCTTCTCTCCACCACTCCTCCGAGTGCGCTCTCCAGCACCGTGTCCTTGGGCTTCAGCCCCACTTCCGTCCCGTCCGTGACCTTCCACCCGGTGGGGGCTATAAACAGGGCTCCGGCGGGGCGGCCCATCACAGCCACGGTCCCGGTGACCGTCAGGCCTCCCCGCCGACCTCAGGGGCCGCGCACACCCATGTGTGAGGGCCGGGTGACCCGCGGGGTCCAGTGGCCCCCGACTCATCGAGGAGAAAGGGTGGAGAGGCCGTGTCCCAAAGGATCCCTCGGTCAGTAGGGGCTTGTGTGTGAGCTGGTGTTTCGGGGGGTTTCATGTGTGCGGTCACAGTACAAATGAGTCAGTGCTAAAATAAACAATTCAGTGGGTGTGTTTCAGCTGCGGTCAAGCCAACTGTGGTGGAAATATAGTGGTGTGTGTGGTGGAATATTTCCGACAATCTCTTGATTGAAAAATTATTTCCTTTCGTTTCTAAATGTTTTTATCAGCATGTAACCAGCAGCGACATTGTTTGGCTGTTTAATGGCCATAGCAACAGACTGGGTGATGATGAGCTGATAAACATGTCGATGCCTTGTGTTTGTAGTTTTCACTTTTTTTTTCTGTGTGTAATGCACTTAAGCAGTCTTATTTTACATTTGATGACATCCGTTTATTCTAGTGTCTCTAGCGGATGAGTTTGTATAATATATTAATGCACGCTGCTGAACTCTCAGTGGACAGTCGAGAGGCGTTTGATGGCTTCTGGTTTTCATAATCTTTGTCTTTTCCAAATCTAATCATTTTCTCATGAGAAAAAAATGGAGAAACAGCTCAGATCATTTGATCTTCAAAGAATTTGTTGAGACATCTTTGAGCTAATATTGAGATCTCTGACTTGAGATTGCAAACCTTGGCAAATCCAAGCACAGTTTGAGATGAGATCTCTTCCAAATCTCATAATTTTCACATTTTAAAAATTGGTGAAGCATTTGATATTAAGTGAATTTTGTGACTTTAGACTGCAAATCTGAGAAAAGTTTCAGAGTTTTTCAAACAATTGGGGAAGCGGGAGACTTGCCGTAGTTTTCACATTTTTTTTCTTTGTGTAATGCACTTAAGTTGTCTTATTTTACATCTTTTTATTCTAGCGTCGTATCTCTAGTGGATGGCTTTGTATAATATATTCATGCACGCTGCTGAACTCTCAGTGAACTCGCCTCTGGACAGTCGTGAGGTGTTTCATGGCTTCTGTTTTTCATAATCTTTGTCGTAGTCATTTATACGAAGCCCCCAGATACAAAATCAGTTTTTAATATAGTTTTTAAATGTATTTAGCATTATTATTAGAGGCAAGCAGTGATTCTAACAGGCATTACCATCAGTGTTTTGACTTGATCATACAGATTACATCAAGGCACTTGAAGGTCATATGTTAATGCTAGCTTTAAAGCCACAGTCTCCTGCAGAGGAAAACTTCATCTAAAATGAATTTAAATGCCATTTTCTAATTGTATTATAATTATTGCACATGCAGTTTTCATAAACTCAAATGAATTTACAATACTCCATTTGTTATGCAGCAGGAAATGAGATATTTTTAAGAACTGCAGAAAGCGATTAAAAAACTAAATGAAATAATGACCAATCTGAAATCTGAAATGTTTCCAGCTTAAAATCTTAATGTTGAAAAAATAAGTGTGCATGCATCTGTCAGCTTCGGTCGGCATCATGAATGAACCATTGCATGTTGCCAGAAAAATCACCACACCCTTCATGTGCGCATTTTATGGGTCAGATCGTTTTCTGAGTGTTATGTTCCTGTTTGCGGTGCTTTCCACTGACCTTTGTTGTGTTACGAGGTCAGATGTTTCTTCACAGCTTCACAATAGTCTCTCCAAAGTTTTAACTTTCACTGAAGATCTGGGGTGTTGTTTTGGGATGTTTTAGCTATTTCTACAGGAATCCCTCTTATCAGGGTTTCCTTTTCCTACGGCGTCACCCGATTCAATTGTTTTCTGTTTGGCAGCTTTACTCATTTTTCCTGCTCTCTGTCCGTCATTCAGGTATTGCGTCGTATCAGTGTATGGCTGATGATGTGGTGTGGAACCCCAGAGGCCCCGACCTCAGCAACTGCACCTCGCCCTGGGTCAACCAGGTCGCTCAAAAGGTCAGTCAAAGGTCAAAGGTCAGGGGTTATCAGAAGAACTGACAGTCAAACTGGATATAGACAGGTAGACTGGTAGACAGAAAGATAGATAGATAGATATTCAGATAGATAGATAGACAGACAGATAGATAGATAGACAGACAGATAGATAGACAGACAGATAGATATTCAGATAGATAGATAGACAGACAGATAGATAGACAGACAGATAGATAGATAGATAGACAGACAGATAGATAGACAGACAGATAGATATTCAGATAGATAGATAGACAGACAGATAGATAGATAGACAGACAGATAGATAGACAGACAGATAGATATTCAGATAGATAGATAGACAGACAGACAGACAGATAGACGATGGATGGATGAACAGATATTTGATGTCTCTCTCATCTCTAGATTAAGAGCGGGGAGAACGCAGCACATATCGCTGCTGTACTTGTCAATCACACACGGGGGCGGGTCTACGCCGGTGATGTCACTTCCTCTGTGCGTCTGATGGAGCAGCTGCTGGACATTCTGGACTCACAGCTGCAGGCGCTGCGACCTGGAAACAAGGAGTCGGCCACACGCAACTACAACAAGGTGTTGTACACACACACACAAGCACACACACACACACACACACACACACACACACACACACACTAACAACTATCAAAGTAACAGTTTCTTGGTCTCTTTTAGCTTCAGAAGAGAGAGCGGACCTGTCGAGCGTTTATTCAGGTAATCATGCAGCACACAGTCGTGCAAACACACATGTCTCTGTGTTCGGCGCTCACCTGTGTGTGTGTGTGTGTGTGTGTGTGTCTGTCAGGCGGTGGTGCAGACGGTGGATAACCTGCTGCGTTTGGAGGCGCTGGAGTCGTGGCAGGACATGAACGTCACAGAACAGTCGCACACCGCCACCATGCTGCTGGACGTCATGGAGAAAGGAGCGTTTCTGCTGGCCAACAACCTGTACGGGGGTCACTTCAGCGACCGCGCGCCCAACATTGGTACGGCTCGCGCTGCTTCATATACACCAGTGCTCAGACGTTCAGGAATCGTTTCTTCTGCTCATTAAGGCTGCATTTGTTTGTTCAAAAATACAGTAAAACAGTGAAATATTATTACAATTTAAAGCAGCTGTTTTCTATGTGAATATCTGTTAAACTGTAATTTATTTCTGTGATCAAAGCTGTATTTTCAGCATCATTACTCCAGTCTTCAGTGTCACATGATCTTCAGAAATCATTCTAATATGCTGATTTGCTGCTCAAGAAACATTTCTGATTATTATCAATGTTGAAAACAGTCGTGCTGCACAATATTTTTGTGGAAACCGTGATACTTTTTATTTTTCAGGATTCACAGATTAATAGAAAGTTCAAAAGAACAGCGTTTATTTGAAATAGAAATCTTTTGTAACATTATAAATGCCTTTATTTTTATTAGTTTAATGCATCTATGATGAATATAAGTATTCATTTATTTAACAAAATATTGTTTAAAGTAACAGATCACATTTATCAGTTTTTTAGTAGAATTGTTACTTTTGAAAGTTAAATTCCTCAACTCTGCTTTAAACTATCTACAATGTGTTGTGTAGCAAATTAGCTCAAAAGGGAAATATATATAAATAATTACAATTATGATTAATTACAATTATTTATATCAGCTGCCAGTAGTAACTGTAGCAGAATTAAATTGCCATCAACCAATCTGTTCGTCCAGCGAACATTTAGTGTAATTTCATATCAACTCTAAGAAAGGATATTTTCGTGGCCACAGAAAACAACCTTCTTACAGTAGTCTAATAATGCATTAGAGCATGTAGCAAGGATCAAAATCATAAAGGGGCATTATTCACAAGCAGGATCAGAAACTCATGTAATTTGTGCACAAAAAACTAAACGATAACACACATAACTAATCTAAACAAACAAACAAACAATCACTCATACATGGGAAAGGGCAAATGAGCATTTAGTTAAATGTACAATACTTGCATTGCCTTGGCCTGGAACCAGCGTACGGATGCAGTCTCGGATGAAAGTCTTGATGGTTTTAAGGTTTTGGACTTGCGATCACGTTCCTCCTGGTTTGAAGAGTGATGAATTCCAAAGATGTTCTGACTCGATGGTGGTTTGAAGTTTCTTTCCAGTGGAAAGTGAAAAAGAGCTAAGAGAGACATCAGCTCAATGGTGGCTTTCACTTTTGGAGGGAACGTTTACGACTCTTTGTTTCAGAGCATGGTATTTTGCATATGTAATTTGATTGGGTGTTGATGCAAAAACTACTAAAGATTCTTAGAACACTAATATATTGCCTATGTACCAACATATAATATACACTCTCGTTTAGATCATCAGAAGACAAATTCATAGATACTAAACATGGTATTAAATCTAATGAACAAATGTGTGTCTGATTGGTCCAAATGCTACAGTTGATAATTAAATCTATTATACAAAGATTGCTAATGATATATGTACAGTATATGAGCATATACCTGATATATGCTCAAGATGGCGCTGCGGACGGCTGCCTCAGTGCTTGGCTCTCCAGTGTTTGTACTGTTTTTGTTCGTTTTTCCTATTTTTTGTTTCTAAAACACAATCAGTTTTACCTGGGATGAACTGCTGAACATTCAGCAGAACACACCACAAAATCTCCTACCGGATTTCGATTATTCGAACGTTTTGCTGAATTGTAGTTGGCGGAGCAGTGGCGCTGATCAAATGCTTCAGGACGCGCAGACGGGGGAAGCGAGCCGGCGCGCTCGTCAAGCTCAGACTGCGCGGTTTTCGAACGCCGTTGCCTAGCATCCATCTGGCGAATCTCCGCTCTCTACCCAA